CGCGTGATCGTTTTGCTCTCTTACATGTCTATTATCCGCACTGTGCTGAGGATGTGCTCAGCACAGAGCAGGGCCAGAGCCTTCCACACTTGTGCCTCCCATTTAATGGCTGTTGCCTTGCTCTTCGGGAGAGCATTCTTCATGTACCTACAACCTCCATCTAGTCACAGGAGCCTGGATAAGGTGGCCTCCATCTTCTACACCGTGGTCAACCCCATGCTCAACCCATTCATCTACAGCCTGAGGAAGAGGCAGGTGAAGGGGGCTCTGGTGAGGTGTGGGAGAAGGTTCTTAAATGGCTGGCAACATGGAAGAGTTCTGTCATCGAGGACATGAACAATTCACCTCAAATGAGAAAGCCTATGGGGCACTAAAACAATGGCATTTTCCCAATTATTTCCATGATTCGATGCAGGTTCTTCTCCAGTTACTGCACAAAAGTCAATGACAGTATTGCATGAGAAATAGACTCCCCAAATCGCATCATCCTTCCCCTAAAGGAAACCAAGAGTAATGGAACTTCAAACTTGAATTCACTTCTCAGTCACTAGCTTGCATGAAGAAATTACCCTGAATTATCCCAGGCCTCTTTTCCTCACAGGGAACACCAATCAGCTTTATTCAGTTATAACTTTTGTCACTGATAAATATCTATTTTTCTTGCAAGATTCTTGACCTTTTCCCTCAGCTCCAGTAAAATTCCTCACTCTTACCTGTGAGCTCTTTATTAAAGTTGCTGGGGTGGGAGGGAAGAGGAAGTGTAGTTTTACATTTGCTTGCTGAAAAAGAGTCAGAGAAAAGGTTTCAAAAGATTCATTGCATTCGTTTATGCCTTTCAAAGAGAAGAAGCTGGTGGGAATCAAGATCTCAAGCTCCAGCTTTGAATATCATGGGGAATCCCTCTCCAGGCTGCAGCTTCACGATAGATTTCACTTTAAGGCAGAAACTGTGGACAATATCATTCATAACACAGGATGATGAATGGTGCTGAGGCTACCCAGTGTTAAGGACAATTTGGGCACATTAAGGGGTCATCCCATTCATTTTAAGGGGTGTTTTACATTCTTCTTAAGTGTCATTTACTTAAATGGTGTGATCCATGGAATTCCAGCACGAGACAAGCCCATGCTTAACTCTTGCTAGTGCACACCAGGAAATACCAAATAGTGTATTTCATATAGGAGTTAAGACAGTGGCTCATTTCCATAGATGAAAGACAATCCTGAACACAGAATCGATCCTAACCGAGAGCTGTCTGGGTCTCAGAGAAGCCAAAACACACCGACGGGGGAAAATATCTTTCCTTTACCTGCTGTGAGTGGGAATTAACTGATGTTGTGAACAGAACATGGATGGGGAACAATCTCTTCTGTGTGCTCTGGCAAACAGCAGCAAGAGATGAGATGTTGTCTGTTGTCTGTGGGAAAGTGGCTTCAACCTGTGCTCAGTGAAGGAGGCAGAACCGATATAATCAGATGCTAAAAAGCTTGGCAGGACAGAGACCTTTGATACCATAGAATCATAACATCATAGGATAGTTAGGGTTGGAAAGGCCCTTAAGATCATCCATTTCCAGCCCCCCTGTCTTGGGCAACGACACCTCCCACTAAACCATGGCACCCAAGGCTCTGTCCAACCTGGTCTTGAACACCGCCAAGGATGGAGCATTCACAATTTCCCTGGGCAGCCCATTCCAGTGCCTCACCACCCTTACAGGAAAGAGCTTCTTCCTTAGATCCAATCTAAACTTCCCCTGTTAAAGTTTTAACTCATTACCCCTTGTCCTATCACTACAGTCCCCAGTGAATAGTCCCTCTGAGTTTCAAATGATGAAGATACTTGTATTTTGAAACATGTTTCTTACATGTATTAAGCTATCAGTGAAACTTGATTGAAAGACATTTTCCTATGCTGTTGCCATGATTTGTCATCCTTAACTGATACTTACCTGGTAGTCACAGTGGTTCAGTCATTTTATATACTCAGATTTCATTACTTAATTAAATGACTTCATTTCAAAATGCACTAAAGACAAAAAACTGGGGTTGTTTTTCCTGATCTGTATTCCCTTAAATGTTTCAATCCATACTTTGCCCTAACAGGAGATTTTTAATTCAATATTCCTGGTTTATCTCCAAACACTTTTGTTGTGACCACGTGGAAAGGTAACAGTGAAATGGGGTTTTGGTGAGGGGATGAATGTTTAAAGAAGTAATCATAAATGGAAGTAAGAGGTGGGAAAATGCTTATAGAAGGGAAGTAAAATAAGTCAGCAGCAGGATAAAGCAGCTGCAAACAGTCTTCAACCCTACCCACTTCTTGCTGGCCTGAGTATCATTGTAGTAGTAGCGCTAGTACATTGTGATGCATCACACTGTCACAATGCCACAAATAGCTCAAGGAATGAGGCAGAAATGACAAAACATTTCTAACAAAGTCGAACTGCCCTTTCATGTACCTTTAATTGACTTAAAGGAACATTAAAGTTTGCTGCTGTTGTGTCAATTGATGCACACAAAACCCTCAGTGAGCCTCAAGTAAAATCGTGAGTGTGACCACAGAAACCAGGTTTGGTGTTTGTACACTTGGCTTGTGCTGAAGTACACGTTGTGCTTCATACCTTTGGGTTGGAAGTGCTTCTCCTCTGCCTCCATGGCTCTCTGGGTGCAGTTGCAGTGGTGATCTCCAGGCACAGAGTGATCAGTGGGAGAGATCAGGGGGGTTTAAGTTCAAACTATAAAAACCATTGCCATACGCAGGGAGATGAAGTGATTCATGTGCACATTTGACTTTGGTTACAGCACTTGGTGCTTCCAGCTACCTTAAACTGTGGTTTAGGTGAAGCTCTAGACTTGCACAGTTCAAACAGCACAATAAATCCCAACCCCTGGCATCCCATTAAACACACTCCTAGGCTTCTTTCCCACCTCTGCCTCAGCAGAGATGACCCCCCCTGCCCTTCCACATTAGCACTGAGGTTAATGAGCCTTGCACCATTAGCTGGGGTGCGGGACCCAGGTCCAAACCTCTTCCAGGCTCTGCTGGGAGTCTCTAATGATCCCCTTTTTGCTCAGCTAAGCTTTACTTCAGGGGTTTTATCCATGAGGACCAAAGGAGTAAATAAACCCAGGTGCTGTCCCCCTCTGGGACAGTGTCATCACCCGCTCTGGGCAAAAAGCTTCTTGCTGACGGAGCTGCTGCATTACTTGTGCTTGGCTCACTTCATCCATGAGCTGCCACTTCCCCCTCCTATAGCATTAGAGACACCTGAAGAATGAAGGAAAACAGATCATGGATCTTCTGCCTTAGGATAACGCACACACCGTGTGTGTAAATCCCAGAAAGCTGCATAAGGATGCTAGGTAAGGATCTGGCATATAAGAATCTGGCAGGCAAGCAGGATCATAGGCTTCCAATTTAGAGCTAGATTAAAACCCAAAGCTTTCAAGCTTCTAAATTTACTGATTTGGGGCAAAAAGCTCAACAAGAATATACCTGAGCTATGTGTTTTCCATAGGTCTGAGTTTCTAGGCATTATCTTCCCACCCTATGTGTGTGTCACCATCTGATGGTGATAAAACCTTAGGGAAAGCATTCAAAAAGGCTGCTTTTCTGCCCCAGCCCTAAACTGAAGAGGACAAGAGCTGCACCACAGCATGCAGTGGCACAGAAATACCTGGGAATGACACACAGGGCACATTCCATGAGGAAACCTTCCAGGTTTTTCCTCTAAGAAGACTAAAAATGCACTGCAAAACCTCAAGCAACCTTCTGAAAGGTTATTCCTCAATGGCAGAAGGTTGGTGCTTTGTCCCTGCAGCAGGGAAGCGGAGAGCAGCCACCCCAGTGGGAAGCACTAAACCCAAACCTGAAGTGCTGGGACCATCCAGAGATAATTTATTTGGGCATTTGTCTCAGAGTTGTGAGGAGCAGCCTGCCAATGCCTTCCTGACCTTGAGCGGGGAAAACCATGGAAATAATACCTGAGCTGGAGAAGATAACAGAAGTTAAGTGCACTGACTCTCTGTTAGACTCATCTGCCACACTGAGGGGAATAGTTCTCTCTGTGCTGGAACCTGACTAGTAGTAGTAGTAGTGATAGGAGAAGGGGTAATGGGTTAAAACTTAAAGAGGGGAAGTTTAGGTTATATCTAAGGAAGAAGTTCTTTACTGTGAGGGTGGTGAGGCACTGGAATGGGTTGCCCAGGGAGGTTGTGAATGCTCCATCCCTGGCAGTATTCAAGGCCAGGTTGGACAGAGCCTTGGGTGCCATGGTTTAGTGTGAGGTGTCCCTGCCCATGGCAGGGGGGTTGGAACTGGATGATCTTAAGGTCCTTTCCAACCCTAACTGTTCTATGATTCTACTGACAGCAATGTGCCAGCTCAGCCTATTTTTGCTGTCTAGGACAGGACTTTCTGCCCCAGGCTGCCAGGGAAACCTCCTGAGAATCGGGAGTTGTTGTGTGCAGCTGGGGATCCAGCAATGCTGTATCAGAGCTGGGGTGATGGATTCAGGGCTCCTGGGGCATCACACTCAGATATTTTCAGTCTTTCTCATGGAGCAAATGGAATGCACAGTCCCTTTTTCTGCCTCCCTAATGAAATGTGATGACCAGTTTGCACCTCTTCTCCAGTTTTCAAATGGTTCAAGATTGGGTTTGGGTTTTTAAAAGAAAAGGTCTGATTTAGCCTCATGATTAAGAGATTTCTGAATGGTTTTTGGATGTGTTTCTCTGCCTGTGAAGATTCACCAAGAACCACAGTTAAGCGTTGCCTCAACTATCAAATCTTTATTGTTCTAATGTCCAACCTAACAGAGTACATGCAAGCCACATGGCATTGCTCTTCCCTATTTCACTCCATCTTTCCTCCTTCCCGCAGGGATGCTGCCATGCAATACAGTAACGGGGCTAAAGGCAACCACACCGCAGTGACCCACTTCATCCTCCTTGGCCTGACAAGCGAGCCCAAGATGCAGACTCCTCTCTGTAATCTTCGTCATGATTTATCTCATCACTCTCATGGGCAACCTTGGGCTGATGGCAGTGATCAAGACAAGCCCCCGGCTGCACACCCCCATGTACTTCTTCCTCTGCAATCTCTCTGTTGTCGATCTTTGCTACTCCTCTGTCTTTGCTCCAAAGCTGCTTCTTGCCTTCTTGGTGGAAAACAAAACCATCTCTTACCCTGCCTGCTTCCTGCAGCATTTCTTCTTCCTCATGTTTGTGACCACAGAGGTGCTCTTGCTGGCTGTGATGGCTTATGACTGCTATGTAGCCATCTGCAACCCACTGCTCTACACGGTTTCCATGCCCCACGGGGTCTGTGTTCAGCTGGTGGCTGCATCATACATGGGGGGGATTTTGAACTCCCTAATCCAAACCTGTTGCTTGCTGCTGTTGCCTTTCTGCGGTCCAAACACCATCAACCATTACTTCTGTGACGCTAACCCTTTGCTGAAGCTCTCCTGCTCCAACAGCCACCTCAATGAGCTTTTGCTTGTAATTCTTCATGGGAGCATTTCCATGTCTGTGCTCGTCCTCATCATCACCTCCTATGTATACATCCTCCTGTCCATCCTGAGGATTAGGTCTGCTGAAGGAAGGCACAAAGCCTTCTCTACTTGTGCCTCCCACCTCCTGACCGTTACCTTGTTCTACGTCCTTGCTGGGCTCAGCCACATGCAATCAGCTTCCAAGTACTCCCTGGAGACAGAGAAAGTCACCGCTGTGTTTTACACCCTCCTTGTCCCTATGCTCAACCCTCTGATCTACAGCTTGAGGAACAAGGATGTTAAAGATGCCCTTAGAAAAGCAACAGCAAATAACCTCATTGCGAGCTGCTCATTGACCAACCCGGTCCCAGCTGGATGATAGAACTCCTCCTCTTTCCCTTTTTGACTTGTTTTGTGTCAGCTGTCTGGAGGAGGAAGGAACTGAATGTCTTTACAGGAGCAGGTACAGCACATTCTAACCATGCTTTAAACTCTGCAGAGGCTCGGTGATGTTAAGCATCCCCTCAATATAGGTCTCTGATAAATATTCTCTTGTCATCTCTTGGGGTTTTTCTTTTGGGGAAAATAGATGTGATATCATAGGAGGTGGCAAAAATAAGCCCATGAGGAATTTCCCTCTTCAGTTTAACTTTAGAAGTTGCACTGATTCAAGCAGTGATTCATCCAGAGGTAAGTTCAAGGAGGGATGAAGGGTTTTGAGGAGGTACATCCGAAAAACATCACTTTACTTTGGGCTAATGCAAGGAAATGCATAAAATCCCATTTGCTTCCAGAAGGATGTGCAGTGCAAAGTAAGGAAATGGGAGGAGAAGCAGAGCCACTGAGCTGCCAGAGGATGAGCATGGTACCTGCTGTGATTGAGCATTGGGAAGATGCTAAATTGCTGTGTGACCAGAACATCCCAGCCTGGAGGCAGCACAGCTGTGTCTGTCATCCTGCACCTTCCTTCCTACCACTGCAAACATTCAGCTCAGCCAAAGAGGTCTCAGAACTGTGTGGGTTGGAGGGAGCTTAAAGGCCACCTATTTCTAACCTCCTCGCTGTGGGCTTCATCTCACATCTGGTTTAGGAGAAGTAGCAGCTGAGAGTAGGATTTTCCCCTATTGCCAAGGATTTTCGTGTGATTGAATGTAATGACTTTAGGGAGAAGTATGGTTTTCTTCCCCTGTTTTCTTGTTGTGGGGCTGCTGTAAGTGATATTTCCTCCCACCCAACTCTTCCCCAACACAACCTGTTAACTGAGAAGGTACCACTGAGGAATGCTGCAGAACTTCATGCTCTGCAAAGCAGAAATAACCAACTGCAACCTGTTAGAGACCTTTAGCAATAAGCTCTTTATGTAGCAAATAGAGACCTGGGACAGACACAGACAAGGAGGGGGAGATGTTTATAACACTTAGTTTCCATTAGAGCTTGCCTTGTCCCTAGCTTGGACACCAGAGGGTCTTGCCTCTCATTAAGAGCTGTTTGTGCTGTTTGCATGATGCAAGGTGCCTCAAGGGAGCAGCCAGGACCAGTTATTCCCAATGGGAAGGCGAGCTGGGAGCTGAAAGTGGCCACAAAGCAGAGCACGGTCCCCCTGTGCCTGAGCTCAGCAGCAGCTTCCACTGATAGCCCAGGGGAAACTAAGAGTCAAGTTCATGGTTGCTACTGACCAGGAGCAAACCCAGTTAAAGCAGAGCCCTGGAAGTGGGCCCAGTGCCAGGACTGAGCTTAAATAGAGCCTGAGCCTATGTCAGAGGGTGTGTGAGAAGGACCCAGGTGATGCTGGCCATGGCAATTACTGTGGCTGCACTCCCTGATGTCTCAAGGAGAGGGGAACTGGGTTTTCCACCACCCAATGCCCTAAACACAGCAGCAGCTCTGCATTCAGCCTCCTCTGGTGTATTCCTGTGTGCAGCGGGTGAAAGAATGGAGGAAAAAGGAGCAAAGAGCTCCTTTATTGTGTTAATGAGAATCATCCCTCCTCAGTTATGCAAAATCATGGAATCATGGAATGGTTTGGGTTGGAAGGGAGCTTAAAGCTCCTCCAGCTCCAACCCCAACACCTTCCACTGGAGCAGCTTGCTCCAAGCCCCTGTGTCCAACCTGCCCTTGAACACTGCCAGGGATGGGGCAGCCACAGCTTCTCGGGGCACCCTGTGCCAGCACCTCAGCATCCTCCCAGGGAAGAGTTTCTGCCTAAGAGCTCATCTCAGTCTCCCCTCGGGCAGGTTCAAGCCATTCCCCTTGGCCTGTCCCTACAGGCCCTGATGAAGAGTCCCTCTCTTATTCTATCTGAGTAAGTTGCTTCACATGTTGTGTTCTCTTTTCTTGAGGGAATTGTCCAAATGTCTTATTTTTCATGAAAACTCCATCAGAAACTTTGATTAAAAGCTTATAAAGTGAGCGTTTCTCTTCACACCAACTTAAATTAGATTTTGACTGGTTGCCATTGCATTCATTCATTATTCATCACAGTTCTTTGCAGAAGACCATGGTTTCCAAAGGTGCTTATTTTAAACCACAAATTTATTCATTTTGTCATTATAAAAGTACATGTTCTTCCAGCAGTTGTACAGTTCATTAAACGGAAAAAAAAGGTGTGAGGACCACACATCCCAGGAAGATTTTAGTTGGGACACACTTCTGGCCACATGCAAACCTATGTGTGCCTATCACAAGTCCTTAGCACTGCTCCAGCTCACTTACACGGGATAAATGTATTGGATGCTCATATCAGGTATCACAGAATCCCAGACTGGTTTATGTTGGAAGGGACCTAAAAGCTCTCAACTTCCAACCCCTGCCATGGGCAGGGACAATTTCCACTAGAGCAGTTTTCTCTAAGCCCCTGTGTCCAACCTGCCCTTGAACACTGTCAGGGATGGGGCAGCCACAACTTCTCAGGGCACCCTGTGGTGGCACCTCGGCACCCTCATAGTAAAGAATTCCTTCCTTACATCCAATGTGGATCCCCCTGCTTCAGTTTGAACCCATCACCCCTTGTCCTATCCCTACACTCCCTGATGAAGAATTCCTCTCCTGCATCCTTGTAGCCCCCTTCAGACACTGGAAGCTGCTCTGAGGTCTCCAAGCAGCTTCTCTTCTCCAGGCTCAACAGCCCCAGTGTTCTCAGCCTGGCGCCATACGGGAGCTGCTTCAGCCCCTGAGCATCCTCGTGGCCTCCTCTGGACTTACTCCAGCAGCTCCATGGCCTTCTTATGCTCCCTGCAGAGAAGCACTTGGGGGTGCTGGGCGATGAGAAAATGAACATGAGCCAGCAGTGTGTGCTTGCAGCCCAGAAACCAACAGTATCTTGGGCTGCATCCAAAGGAGAGGGGCCAGGAGGTCGAAGGAGGTGATCCTGCCCCTCTACTCTGCCCTTGTGAGACTTTACCTGGAACATTGTGTGCAGTTCTGGTGTCCTCAACATAAAAAGGACATGGAAGTGTTGGAACAAGTCCAGAGGAGGCCACGAGGATGCTCAGGGACTGGAGCACCTCCCGTATGAAGACAGGCTGAGAAAGTTGGGGCTGTTCAGCCTGGAGAAGAGAAGGCTGCGTGGAGACCTCAGAGCAGCTTTCCAGTATCTGGGGCCTATAGGGATGCTGGGGAGGGACTCGTCATTAGGGACTGTAATGATAGGACAAGGGGTAACGGGTTCAAACTTAAACAGGGGAAGTTTAGGTTAGATATAAGGAAGAAATTTCTTCCTGTGAGGGTGGTGAGGCACTGGAATGGGTTCCCCAGGGAGGTTGTGAATGCTCCATCCCTGGCAGTGTTCAAGACCAGGTTGGACAGAGCCTTGGGTGAGATGGTTTAGTGTGAGGTGTCCCTGCCCATGGCAGGGGGGTTGGAACTAGTTGATCTTAAGGTACTTTCCAACCCTAAGTATTCTAGGATTCTAGGATTCTATAGACACCAAAACTGTATCAGAACTGCAGGGGATACCAGAGCTGTATTGAACCTTTGGTCCTTCCCTCAGATCTTCAAGCTCGCTTGGGATGAGCAGTTATCAACCAGGCAATGGAGAAAGTGGTCACTGCCTTACCCCAAGGCTGAGCCTCCTTTTTGTGGGAACTACTTTCATTTAGCACAATTTAAACACAAAACACCATGGTGCTGTCTCACTCCTGCTATTAAATAACTGATACTTATTTGGATGAATTATCCAAGACTCAGTCCATGCTTAAAATCACCTGAAGCTGTTTGAAGGAACCATTCATTCCTCAAACTCCTTCTGGCTGCATCAACACCTCCAAGACCAGTTCTCCTGCAGAGACCTACCCAGGAAGAAAGGCCCAGGACAGTTTGCTTTGTATTTCCTCATCTATCACATACCCCTTTCTTTCAGTGTTTCCCTGAGGAAGCCCTTTACATCCACAGAGATCATCAAATATTGAATTGAAGGGAGCTGAAAACAAGCTCAACAAAGCATCCTCTCTCTGTGGATGGTTTGCGCTGGTCATGGGGAGTCCTTTCCATCACATGCATTTATTTCCATACACTTGACTAGTGATTGAACAACACTTTGGTCAAAAGCATTGGCTCAAAATGTGGCTGCTTTGAGGATATAACAGGATGAAGTCAGATTTCCCAGTCTTCATCTGAAGAATCCTGAGTGCCGGTGTGTCCTGAATGCTTCTCCTAGATTATAAACCCCTTAGGAGAAATATTAAATGATAACCTTGTCCCAGACATTTAGAAAAGTCAAAGGATGGGTCAATGAGAGGAGAAAACTGAGCTATGAAAGTGTGGGGAAGGAAGAAAGAGAAGAACGTAGATGGCTTTAGATGTTTTCAATGTCAACCTGTTTTTCTGCTGGAAGGCACCAGACTGACAGTCCAGGAGATGCACTGGAGGAGGGTAGAAAAGGATTTCTGAGTGGTTTTGAATGTCTT